CGGTTCAACATGGCAGAATCTATAGAAGGTGATCCGCAGTGTTTGTAGATATAAACAGCTCATTCTAAGGTAACAAAAACGTAACTATAATGAAAGGAAATGATAATGAAATCTTAGTTATGCATATTATATTCAATTCTGCCTATAGATCATCCTAAATGTTACACACTGAACCTTTGCATGTTTTATTTTGTGTGTGTGTGGTTTTGTTTGGCTTATTGGAGACCCTACCCTGGCATAACACAGTACCCTAAGACATGTAGATAGCAACTCCCTGCTGTTTTTGTTCCCTCTCAGACATTCACCTGTTATTGGCATACAGACCAATATCCTCTTGCTAGTCTCTGTTCAGATATTACTTTGATCTGCTCACAGTGCACAGTACACCAGGACTCATATCCAGATATCTGTTGAAATCAAACATGTCAATGACTTTTTACTGAATTGGGAACCCAAATTGATGTTGACTTTGTCATACAAGCCTAAAAGTCTACAGCCATGCTAGTCCCATACATGTGAACATGCAAGTATAATGCTTTCTATGTTTGCTATCTTAGTTTAGCGTGTTACCATGCTAACATTTGCTAAATAGCACTAAACAGAAAATACAACTAAGGATGATGGGAAAGTTATTAGTATTTCAGGTGTTTTGGACAATTACATGTTTTACCTGATGATGGATTTAGATGAAAAGTTATTACAATTCTTTGTTAGCAGAATATGAATGCCTGTACTGAATTCCATGGCTTCATTCTGTAACTGTCAAGACATTTAACTCAAAACCACAAATGTCAACCTCATGGTGGCAGTATCAACCAGGAAACTGCTTCACTTTTAATGAGTATGTATGTCTTTTTCTTTTATCCAAGGCATCAGAAAGAACCCGACTGCACCATTTGTGCCACGAACAGTGATCATCGGGGGAAAGGTACCAGCCAAAGCAGACATGACAAACAACAATCCAATAAACAGGTGAAGAGTAGGGTGATAGTTTTGTTTTACAGTAAGTCATCCACTGTCACCCTCTGCAGGCTGCTCCTGGGTATCACATGGCAAAGATGATCATCAGGCTGATCACTTCAGTGGCTGATGTGGTGAATAATGACCCTGTGGTGGGAAACAAGCTGAAGGTCATCTTCCTGGAGAACTACAGGGTCTCTCTAGCAGAGAAAGGTACCATTTAGACAACTTTCTCTAATACCTGCACATGTTGTTGACCCTTTTATGAAGGTGCATGACACAAAAACACACCACTGTGTGTGAAAAACTCTCTTTTGAAGATGTATAGTTTAAAACTTCCTAAAACAAACAGCAGAGAAAATTTAAATTTTAACTCTTATCTGCTTTTCTCAGTGATACCTGCCACAGATCTGTCAGAGCAGATCTCCACCGCTGGCACTGAAGCTTCAGGAACAGGAAACATGAAGTTCATGCTGAACGGAGCCCTGACCATCGGCACCATGGACGGGGCCAATGTGGAGATGGCAGAGGAAGCCGGAGAGGAGAACCTGTTCATCTTCGGCATGAGGGTGGAGGATGTGGCTGAACTGGACAAAAAGGGGTAAAGGGGTCTATTTTATTGCTCATGTTTACGTTTTTAAAGCTCTTTTTATGTTGTTAAAACGTCTTTGTCTATTTCAGATATGATGCCATGTCGTACTACAAGAAGATTCCAGAGCTGAAACAAGTGATGGACCAGATCACGAGTGGATTTTTCAGCCCTAGAAACCCAGACCTTTTCAAAGACATCACAAACATGCTCTTCAAATACGACCGGTGAGAAACTATTTCCATTCCAAAATGCTGTAGCCCAGTTCAGGTTATCTGAAGATCACTAAAACTGTTTTATATGGGAAGCAAAGACCCTTGAATGGCTGATACTCTCATGTCAACAATCATTTCTTTCTTAGCTTTTCTTCTGATGATGGATGTTCAAGTTGATTTATTTACTCTCCTTTTTCTCTCTTCAGTTTCAAAGTGTTTGCAGACTTTGAAGACTACATAAAAAGCCAAGAGAAAGTCAGCAAGCTCTATCAGGTAACATTTGCCTCAAACAGACCCGGGGCCTGTTCAGTGAGATCAGTGGGTTAGACAGCTGTCTTTGGGCTCAACTTTTTGATTTCCAGTATCACTAAGCTGCCAATGCCAATATAGATATAAGTTTATGACAAGTGATAAAGAGCAATATTTGTATGGGTCAGGCTTGGCTCTCCATGTTTCACTCAGTGTTTAAACCAGAGCTTCTAACAAAGAGAGGGATAGTAATGATGATCATAAGCAGCCATTTTGACCTGAAATAGTAGAGTAAACACAGGTGTTAGTAATAATACTAATTAAGGTTCTGTTGCATTTAGTGTAGCAGAGCCTTTCCAGTGAGCCAACAGCAGCACCCTGACTCTGTTTGACCTGAATGGAACAGAAACTTAATTAGTATCATTCATAACACCTGTGTTTACCCTTCTATTTTAGGTCAAAATGGCAGCTATAAAAAAGCTTTATTTCTGATTTCTGACAGCGTTGATACTTTTACACTCTTATTCCATCACTTCAGCTCAGAATAACATGAACAGCATTTCAGTCAGATACCCTCATCAGGCCTTTTTCTCGTCTGACATTACTTTTAACTTTTCTATGCGCTTTTTATTTAATCAGACAAAAAAAAAATAGAATTTGGAAATGATTTCATATGTTTATACAGCTTCTTACTATATTCTAGTTATGTGATTGTGACTGAAGTTGAACTTTCTTTGCAGTACAGGCCCCTCGATCAAGTGCTATTTATAGTTATTATGGATTTTGTTTGTCTGTTTGGTGGGCAGCTGGGTGGGCTTTGCAATTGTTTATTCTTATTTATAATTTATTATTATATTTATTGTATATATTCACTTATTTTTCACCTACTTGCATGAATATAACATATTTTAATATGTAAGTATGATAAGCAACTTAAAACAGGAGTCAAATTCCTTCCTTTCTTCTTTTATTTTTCATTCTTTTTCTGTCTTTTATGTTTATAATAGTATTCATAAAGCATTTTAAGTTATTATGAACTTATTATTATTATTATTATTATTATTATCAAAAGGTAGTATAAAATGAAAAAGAACTAGTAACAAAGTATGAAATGGTCAAGCAGTAAAGAAAAATTATCATGAAACACCAAACCTACAGAAGCAGAAATAAACATGTTTTATTTCCCTCTAAAAGAATCCAAACGAGTGGACGAAGATGGTGATCAGGAACATCGCCGCCACAGGAAAGTTTTCCAGCGACAGAACCATCACAGAGTATGCCACTGAGGTGTGGGGCGTCGAGCCGACTGACCTGAAGATCCCACCTCCGAATGAGCCGAGAGAGGCCATCGAAGAAACGGCCAGAGCTCTGAAGAAAATGTGAGGCTGTTTCACAACAGACGGCTGCCTTTATGTTTACAAATCATTTACTGTTCCTTTTCCCAATTTAACTTTTTAACCATCAAGTTACACATCTCTGAACTTTTTGAAGAACTTTTGGATGTTTCAGAAATCACCTCTGCACACGTTTTCTTTTTCACTTTTTATTGTCAGAGAACTTGAGTCAAAGCACTTGCATTAGAAACAGTCTGTTACAGTCCTGTAGCACTAACACCTACAGTAAACCAAGAGTCAGTGTGGACAACTCAGAGGTCAAATACTTCATATTTGACATTCCTGGAGTTTAGGATTGGTGGGGGTTTTTGCATTTCAAGAATTCAGTAGGATGACAGTAACAGAGCAGCTGACTAAACTGAATTTTTAATTACATTCCTGCGACTTTATGCTGCACTGAGTGACAAAGCCTGTCTATACACCAGGCAGATTAAAGCCATTTCTAAGATTTTATTTGTGTCTGTATCAGTCTAACTTGGCTAAGAAGATACAGTTTTTTTGTCCCAGTGTTGAAATAAAAACATTTTGTGTAATATAATATGTGTAATTAGTGCTTTTGTTTCAGTTTTTAGAGCAAACACACATTTTGTGACAAAATACATTTGTTTATTGGAGCCTTATTTAGGAAAATACAATACAAACTAACACTTCAGTAGTGAAAGCCGACATAAAAAAAGAGTAAACCCTCTTCTCTGAAAGGAGCCAGCTTTACTGTCTCAGGTTTTGTAGAAACTTCCTGCAACCAAAACAGATGAAATATATATATTTTTTTGTTGTTTGTTTGCTGAGGGATTGTGGTGAATGGAAACAATAAATTTAATGAAAGATACGTTCATTATTAGTCAAGCATCAGTCGGTGTATTCAGTGGAATTCACTGTATGAAAATTATCAACCTTATACCAGGATTAGCTGATATACACATTAGCATAACATAAATTGTAAAATTCGTATCAGTTTAGCAAAACTTACTGAACCACATTCGACAGATTGGGATCTAAGTAGATGCTGCTGTGGGAGAATCCAAGATTTGCACTGTAGGAGATCATTTCAACCCGAACATCTGTGTTATATTTTTTCTTAGCCTGGAGGGATATCTGATACAGCTGGAGACCAAGAAATGCAAAGTAATTCAGAGTGGAGGCAGCTACATCCACTAGGAAATCAGTCAAAGGAAACATACATAAAGAGCTACTGTACCTTCAGGCCCATGTGATAAGGAACAATGTTGTCATCCTCTGCATGCAGAATAAGAAGTGGGCTGGTCAGGGCCTTCAAACTGCGTAGAGGGTAAAATATATATCCACAGTCAGAGATGGTTTTCATTAGCTGAATAACATTGTTTCTATCATATTCTTTTACACGCTGCTCTCCGTAAAGGGATTTGAATGATTAAAACATGGCAAGTGTGGAAACCCTGCAAGATTAATAAACCAAGAAGCAGAATAGGACAAATAGCACTGTACTTACTTTTTATCGTTAGCAAATACAATGTTGTTCATTTCCAGTATGTTCCAGAGCAAGCTCTGAAATCCAGGAAGGTACATGTACATCTGGAATAACAGATTATATTATATTATTATTATTTTAATAACATCCAAATACTTGTAGGATAGAAATGGTTAACTGGTTAACTTTGTGAATTAATCCCAATAAGGATGTAGACAATAAGTTGAAAATTATAAATTTCATATAATATATAGAAGATAATGAACATGGATGCAGAAAGTGTTACCAGTTAGACTTTTGTTAAGTAATTTAAATGTAGTAAATATGTGCTGATATTGTATCTAAATAGGAACTGTAATAGAAATATTTTCATTTGAGAGCTTATTACTATATTTATTAATTTAAATGTAGTCTAATTGAATATGCTAAAGTAAAATATAAGTTGTGGTGGCTTAGTGGTCTTTCATATAGACAGGATTTTTTGAGTAGAAATCCAGTTTGACTTTCATTCCACATCATTCCAACTCTTTTTTCCCAGTTTTATCCTGTCTCGCAGCCTCTCTACAGTCTCAAATGTCTTATAAAAAATTCCCTTTAATTTAACACAAGAAGAGCTTTTCATGTCACACGGCATTCTTTTGAAACAAGATAAAAATGTAGGCAGCTGTGTTTTTATGGATTGGTAAATGTCCTGAGGGGCTGCAGACAGACAAAAATGTAACAATTGGCCTCACCTTAGTGAGAGGATGGAGGGCTACGACTTCTCCTATTGTTGTGTATGGAGCTTCGAGGATTAAAGCATCAACAGCAGACCCTGATATTAAACACAAAAACAAAAATGATTAAAAATTGATTGGGAATGGGTATTCAATTTCAGTTTCAGGGCTTTTAAAATCAATTTTTACTGACAGAAGAGTGTGAGAGATGTCAATCAAACAGTTTCACTCTCCTGAGAAGAGGTATTTAAAGGACCAGTGTGTAGGATTTAATGGCATCTAGTAGTGAAGTTATTGCAACTAACTGAACACAGCATGAGAACAGGCTGTGAAGTGTGTAGGAGAAACCAATGCAAGACATATGAAAAACCCTATCAACAGTCAGTGTTTGGTTTGTCCGTTCTGGGAATAATGTAGAAACATGGCAGGTCAACATGGCTGACTCCACGGAAAGCAACCCGCGGCAACTGTGGATACAAACAACTCATTCAAGGCTTTACTTTAACCCACCTTGTTCTTGTACTTTTGCTGCTGTATTGGTCGCCACCCTGCAAAAAGAAAGTACAGTAGGCTTTATACATTTCTTACTCAATGTTTTCAGTCCTGTCTATTAGTGTCATAAAGAGTAGAAAGTAATGGTTAGAGAGTCTAGAGAGAAACTGACCCAGAACCAAGCGAGTGCCCCCACAGATAGACATGACCCCCTCTGCTTCGCTTCTTTACCCACTGGTACAAGTAGACGGTGTCACTGGTCATTCCAGACTCACTTGGCTCCCCAGTAGAGTCTCCAAAACCTCATTAAAAGACATATAAATCTTCAAAATCATGACAAATACTACATATTGACAGACAGGACAACACATCAAGAACATGATATACATTGGCTGTGTGTCCTCACTGCTGTGTGTGTAATAAAAATAAAGATAATAGATACATAGAACAATGTTAATTATGTATTTTAAGGTGTTAAAGAGGGAATTGGGTCTCCAGGAGCCCAAAAAGAACATTAATGTAATGATTAAATTAAAATATCAGAGCTGTATTTAGCAGGAAACAAATCACTTGAAGAGCAGAATAAGCATGTTTACCTCTGTAGTCTAAAGATAAGACATGATAATCTGCACCACTTAAAATCTGCAACACACAAAAATAATTTTTTTATCTAAAAGTCAAAACTTTCCACCAAAATTGAAAATACTTTAAACAGAAACTGTACCTTCACCAGTTCCATTCTGTGTTTCATGGCCCTGCAGAAAGGACATAAGAATATGAATGAATACGAACAAGTGGCTTTCAGACTCATTTATTCTGACCCACAAACCCTTGTGTGCATTGTGCCTGTGCATAAACCCGGGGGTCTGTGATACCCACTAGACTCCATTAGGATAAATTCAAGGGTCTCAATCCTGCTGCTCTCATCCCACCTGGTCCCTGCGTTGCCATGGAGATAGATAATAACAGGACGGCCGTCTCCCAGAGTCTCCCGGTACCACTCAGGGCTTCTCCCAGCGGCCTTCTCCCATTGGCTGGCAGGGAGCGTATGCCTATGAGACACAAAGATAGAGAGTGAGAGAGGAGGAAGAGTGAGTAGCACAAACAAATACGCTTGTGTTTTAAAGTATACAGTAGGGCTTTTTTTGAGTGGTCTCTTGCAGATAAATGAGTAAACTGTGGTCCTATTCACTCAGGAGCCACCTGTGCCGAATATGTACGTGCACGTGGTATTTTCAAGTACTGATGCTCTTCAATGGACACAACAAGAAGCCCACAAATGACCTACCAGACACCCACTGAGATACCCTCCTCTGTGTCGAGGTAGAAGTTGCATGTGTGGTTCAGCACGGCTTCAGGTCTACCAAGATCCACGAAGAATGGAAACCTCACTGCAGCAGATAAGAGCACACAAGGTCGGTATGATTTATTTATATTGGGTAGTATTTAATCATATCCCATATTGTATAGTATAATATTGTACTGTATTATCATAATGTAATAGGGATGCACTGATATATCAGCAGATCAGTATCAGTATTTATCTTGTTGACTGACATTGGCCTATTGGCAAATGAGATAGTGTTAGTGATAGTGATAATGTTTCCGATATCATTGTTTATCTGTTTTGTTACATCAGTTTTGTCCTGGTTAAATGTTGTGTTATTATTATTATTAGTTCGTTATTTCCAACTTGAATACTGTAGAAACGATCACCTCCTATTTCCAGCACTGCCACAAATTGCTCTATACAGCAGCACAGTGAGTTATCTTTGTAGATTTCTTTGTTTTCCAGCACAAAAGGGTGAATAAATAACACAAACAAAACATTGGTATCGGCTTTTGGCCAAATTGTAATTCTAAACATCGTATCGGCCCAGAATTTTCTAATCGGTGTTTCCCAATAATGTATCACATCGTATCGTATTGTAGGTTCTGTATCATATCACATTGCAACATATCCTATCTAATCAGGGTGTGCAATAAACCTTTTTAATTTAATAGTGGACAACAATTAAATTATTTTATTTGTGATTTGGCACACATTTGGTATATCATGATATATGAGTAAGTATTAGCATCAAATATTCCTATTAATAACATAAGAATGATTTCA